GGTCCTTTGTTACTATTTCTTTTGGAGTGACTGTCCGTGAAGCAAAAATCACGTGCTTACACCGCTTCTTGTGATTACCGCAATTGCATGCCCGGTATTGTTCCCAACCTTTGGGTTTAATACCGTATTACTAGGTAGAGCCCCTTTAGGGCGAGTATTCAAAGATTGCGAAATCTGTCCAAGTTGAACCTCCAAGTTTCGGATTGAAGTATTATGGGATGCCAATTGGGCATTAGAGTTGGCATTCTTTTTCATCATTTGTTCAAACATCATCTCGATCCTTCCCATCTCATTGTTTGACGAGCTAGGACCTTGGGATGGAAATGGAGGTGGGTTGTTTGGTTGTTGATACATCGGCGGTCTTTGAAAGCCTTGCCCCCGATTCCCTTGATTGCTATTATTCCAACCCCCTTAGTTGTTGTTTCCTCCCTAATTGTTGTTGTTGCTACTCCAGTTGTCATGGTTGTTCTGGTTACCCCAATTCTAATTGTTGTTCCCCCAGTTGTTATTTCCATGTTGGTTTTGATTCCCCCAGTTTCCTTGGGATCTCCATTGTTGTTGTTGGTTTGGATCATTGCCCCTTCGTCCTTGGTAATTGTTCACGTACTGGACTTTTTCACTTTGCTCATCATACCCATCATCTTGGTTGAAACCACTACTACATTGCTCATATTGATCTGGATCTCCTTGACTTTGTTGACCTCTTTGTCGCCTCTTGTTAACCAACATGTTTACACCTTCCATAGCATTTACTTGTCTCGGCGCTTGAACTTGCTACAATTGAGCTTTAGCCAACTGGTTCATTGTTGTAGTTAACTTTGCTATTGTCTGGCCATGGTCGTGGAGCTCTTCGTGCAGGTGAATAACAGTGGGATCACCCTGTGGCATATTAGCTCGACTTTGCCAAGCTGAGTAAGTATCAGCCATCTCATCAAGAATATCACAGGCCTCATCATAAGACAGTTTCATAAAATTACCCCCTGCTAACTGGTTTACCACACATTGATTGGTTGTGTTTATACCCCGATAAAATGTCTGTTGAATCATTACTTCAGTCATATCATTGTTGGGGCATTCTTTGACCATAGTTCTATATCTATCCCAGATTTCATGAAGGGGCTCATTCGGTTCATGTTTGAATGCTAAGATTTCATCCCTCAATGCAGCCATATGTCCCGGTAAGAAAAACTTGGCTATAAACTTATCGGCCAACTCATCCCACGTAGTGATAGAATGATTGGGGAATCTTTCTAGCCAGTCCAAAGCTTTCCCTCTAAGTGAGAAAGGGAACAATCTCAGTCTCAATGCATCCTCCAACACATTAGTTTGTTTGCTTCCCCAGCAGGTATCCACAAAGCCCTTTAGATGTTTATATGCATTCTGATGGGGAGCACCTGTAAAGTACCCTCGTTGCTCCAATAAAGTCAACATCACATTTGTAATCTGGAAATTGCCCACCCGAATCCGAGGTGGGACAATTGCACTTGCGTACCCTTCATTTGGAAGAACCCGAGGAGCCACTCTTGGAGGAGCTGGGGGAGGATTATCATTGCCCTAGTGGCCTCTTCTTTGAGCTTGAGGTACTAGAGGTACCTCATCTTCACCAGTATCATCTACATCTTCCCCTAGGATAGCATTTCCAATAGGATCATTGTTTTCCATGTTGTACCTAAAACGATTAACTCATACAAGTTAGTAAAACATAAGGAAAGAAAAACAAGACACAAAACTAGTCAGATAGATAGCCAAAATCGTTTAGCTCCCCGGTAATGGCGCCAAAAAGTGATTGGCTCCAACCCTGTACACTATCGAATGGCAAGAGTGGTCGATGCAGCTTTTACCCGGAAGGTTGGGATCGATCCACAGAGAGCTAATATTAGTTTGGAATTAGGTTTCTATCCAATGTTTTAAAAGGCGGGGGCGTGAGGTGAGGCGTTTTACCTAACACGGGACGAGGCGTAAGCCCCAAAACATGGGGCGTAAATCCATGGATATTTAATTTATAATTAATAAAATAAACTTAAAATTATTTTTAAATCTAAAAATTACATAATTCTTTTAGAAAATTCATACAAATCAAAAAAAATAAAGAATTATTTATAATTAAATTAACTAACAATAAAAAATATACTAAAAAATGAGATACATCTTAACAATAAGTCAATAATGTTCTAACCCAAATAACAATCCATATTCCAAACAAGATAAGCAAAAAGCGTCGATCATTTGTCAGAAAAAAATGAAATAAAATCAAACTAGTTCATGGCAATGATCTGAAGTTTGAACTATAAAGACAAACATTATAGATGCCTTTAGAATATATATTTTAAAATATGAGAGAGGTTAATTTTCTAGAAGTTTAACAGTAAAGAATATTTAGTGCAAACAAAAGAATTTGGTCAGAGATACATTGGTATCATTGTTAAGAGCACAAATGGCACTCATCTTCCACAAAAAGCAGAAATGCACAAAAACTATATCATCTCTCATGTCTCAATAGTAGCTTTGTAATTATATTTCTATGTGCAAAGTGCATCTCTAAACACTCAGCAAGACTTCATAACCCTCTTTGATTGAAGTCACAAAAGTTGTTGCTCCTCCATATACATGCCTGCAAAACATATTTCATATTAAGAAAATAAAGAGTTTTGTGAGAGCTAACATTGTCTAGCTTCAAAGTTTAAATCCACTTGCCTCTGATTAGAGCAGTTTTGTCAAAAAGTTTCAACAGTCAAAGTCTAATCAATCGCTATAAAAAATGAGGTCGTCGTCCATTTCATCATTAATCTCCACATCTTCTAATCCTTCCTCACTCTCAAGTAGCACTGATTTTTCTTTATGTAGATCAAAAGGAAAAAGGCAAAAAAATTTAAGTATTTAACATAACTTCATAAAGTACTAGTAAATAGTAGTACACTACACACTCACCTGAAGCCTTATGTTTTTTGTTCGATGGACTTAATTCACTTGTATCTCTTAAACTACCAACATCAATGATAGATTCATATGTAAGGTCATTTTCATATGCAGTAGGTGGTACCATTCTAATGACATCAACATCAAATAAATTCTCTTCATCAAGCCAAGAAGGATCTTCAGGAAGCACGGGATCTTCTTTTTCAGTTATCCATTCATCATCAGAATCAATTTCATCAACTAGAATCGGATCGACATTTTGCATTTTTCTTTTGATGCTCCTTTCTCTTAATCTAGCATTGTATCTGACATAAACTAGAGAATTTAATCTATGATGCTCAAGTCTATTTCGCTTCTTGGTATGAATCTAGCAAATATTAGAAAACCAAAAATAAGCTATTATAAAAACAAAAATGCAATAGTAGAAGTTCTGAAAAAGCATAACTCTTACCGACTCGAAGGTACTCCAATTTCTTTCACAACCCGAGGAGCTACATGTGAGACTCAAGACACGAATCGCAAATTTTGTCAACTCTGGAGTTCTACCTCCAAAATGTATCCACCAATCTGTCGGAGATCGTACTTTCTTAGAATCCATAGCTAACTGACTTCCAAAATCCCCTCTCAAGTGGTCATATGAATCTAACTGAACATCCACTTTAAATCTCTCTTCATAACCCAACATTCTTTCCATACATTGGAACAAACCTTGTTTGATTTCATAATTATTAGAAAACCTTTCATCAAATCGCAACCGAGGATTCAAATAGTATCCAGCAGCATGAAGTGGACGATGAAGTTGGTTATTCCATCTATCATCAATTCTCTTCCAAATGGGACCATACTTTTTTTGGTTGGATCCACAATTTATAGCTATCTTTTCCTTAGATCTGTTCATCAAATCATACATATATCCCATGCATGGTTTTTCCTCTGAATCTACTTCTCTCAAAACCCTCACTAAAGGTGTAACACTCTTTACATAATAAGCAATATAAAGCCAGAAGTTCTGATCAAACAAAATTGTGGCTCTTGTTTTCACCCCCTCGTGTTTCTTAGCCCAAGTAGATTTATTCCAAGCTTCAGAAGAAAACATAGATCTAAGGGCTTGTTTTTGGTTTTGAATGCTTTGAAGCGTGAGATATGCTGTAGCAAAGCGAGTGACAGCAGGACGCAGTAACTCATGATTATTTGTAAATGACCTCATCAAATCTAATACCCAAGTATGCCCATAAATAAATCTAACCACTTCTTTTGCCTTTTTAAGTATTTTTTGATGAAGTGTCAACTTTCCTATATCTTCTAACAAGAGATCAATACAATGTGCAGCACATGGAGTCCAATAAATATGAGATCGAGTTTCCATTATTCTGTTTCCAACATTCACAAAATTAGAACCATTATCAGTAATTATTTGAACAACATTTTCTTCTCCAACTTCATCGATAATTTTATTTAAATGCAATGCAAGCATTTCACCACTTTTAATAGAGTCAGAGGCATCAATAGATCTCAAAAAGAAAGTACCGGCTAGACTATCAATCAAAAAGTTAATAAAACATCTACTTTTTCCATCTGTCCAACTATCAGACATAATTGAACAACCATATTGCTTCCAAGATTTCTTGTGTTCATATAACATCTTATTAATGTTTTTAACCTCATATTTTAATATCCAAGTTCTCAATTCATGCATGGAAGGAGGCACAAAACCCAGTCCATAATTTGCAACTCTTTCAAACATTGGTAAATAATATGGGTCATTTGCAACATTAAAAGGTATACCACTTGAAAAGAAGAACCTACCGATTCGTTGTGAAACTTCTTTCCTCTCTTCTTTTTTCCATTTGGAGTTTAAAGTAGCTTGCCTTGTTTGTGCACTAACATAATCATCAATTGGACCTCTTGCCTTTGGATGTGAATTCGGCATACTTGGAGAAGTACCATATTCATTGCCCATACCACTTCCAGATGCAACGGATCGCATTTTTTGCAAAGTAGTATTCCGCAAGGTTTTAACTTTTTGAAGCTTTAGTAATGCTTTCTTGCATTCATCGGCCACTTCATCTGGCATTGTAGGACAAAGATTTATTCCTTTATGGGTGCCTGCTAAGTGTTGCTTCAGTCTGTTGATGGTGCCACTACATCGTTGATTACAAAACTTACATCGAAAGAAGTTTTCATCTGGATTCACGATTGTATATTTCCAAGCAAAATCTTTTTTGCTCACTGTATTTCCCTCTTCATCCATTGTCAACAATGACCTGCCAATATAAAGTTTATAGTTACTTGCAAGTTTTAGTAATGAAAGAGTTATAGTTAATAACTTACTACTCTATAGTCTATATTTTTTAATTATCCATCAATCACTTAAATTTATTACTTCTAAAGAAAGGGAATAAATAATTTTAAAACTCGTTGATTTTAGTATTTGCATATAGCTTCTTCTTCTGGTGAGGCAAATCAATCTTTCTATAAGATATATTGACTAAATAGGATTGATCTTTTATACAAGAGTCCATATTAGGTTGAAGATTCTGTAAAATATAGAAATAAACATATGCATTAGTTAAAAGGGAAAAACATTAAGCTTGACAATAGTTCCTTTGTCCTTTCCTTAATAGTTCGTTACTATTTTTCAAGAAGAAAGTCAGAAACTACAAGTGCATGTTGATAATCACACAATAAACATACAAAATGCAGAAATTTTTAAAATATAGCAACAGCAAGAAACAAAAACCAAAAGTAGCAAAAGACACCTATTATAATTTTCGGAGTTAGAGTGATTAGTGAAGTAAAAAGCTCCAGCAGTTGAGGAGAAAGCTCAAGGTTCTATCATATATGGAGTATGACTGTGGAGTGTGGACGATTCTTCACTGTAGAACAAGGTTAGGGCTTTTTTTTAATAGGGTGGGGATAGATTTGGGGTAAAACGAAAAAGGGTTTAAAAAATATAAGGGCAATTGTCAAAATTATCCTTCAATTGGTTAAGTTCCATCATGCGTGTGTCTTGGTTCTAAGGCGAGTCTTGCGCCTAAGCGTGCGCCTCATCTCTTGGGGCATGCACCCAAAGGATCTGCGCCTCTCACTAATGCCCAGATGCATTTTATGTGCGCCCCGCCCCGATTCGCGCCCCGGGACTCGCCCCATAAACGCCCCTAAAAACATTATTTCTATCTAATATAGCTATGTGTGATGTTCTTAATTTCACTTTCAATCATGCTTTGTTTTGGTTGCTATTCTACTTTTAATACTAATGAAGAATGAAATTAAGCTAAATATGATATTTTTGTAAGGGTTTTCTTAATTGGTAAAAAGGCACTAGGGAAGTGACTTACACCTAGGTCCATCTAACGGGGTCTAAAACGTAGTGTAGACTTGTTATAATTGGGATTATGATATAACCATTGCACATAATTACCCACGCTATACCTCTCGATAGTTTCAGTGACTTTGCCCTAATTGGTTTTCTCAAGCCCAATTGGGTGTTTAAACAATGGAAGCAAAATTGGCTCAAGTCGGGTATTACTATCTCTAAGTTTAACCCTTTAATTGGGGCTATCAATCTCTTGAATGAACCCCAATTCCTTGTTAGCTTGAATTTCCTAGACTTAGTCTCTCTTTCTCAAGAAGAGCCTAAGTCAAAAAGGCACAAATCAGTGTTTGCAACCACCAATTCAACAATTAAAGCATGATTCAAGCTAAATATCATTGACCCATAAATATTTAAGCCCTAAAATTGAGGATCCATTAAATACCCACATTAGGATTGGGCCACAACCCTAGCTAATGGGCTTAGCTACTCATAATCAAAGAAGAAATCAAAGGTAGAGATAAAATATAAGCCATAAAAAGTAATTACAAGAGTAAAATCTAAGATTAATTGCTAAAGATGTTCTAAAATTACTCTAAAAGGCTAAAATGGTTGTTCACATTCTCTACAAAATAACATATGCCCTAAAAATCTGAAAAAGAACTATTTATACACAGCTAAATTTTTCGAACAAAATTGCCCCTACAGAGATTCCGCTGACAGTGGAAAACAGGTCGTCTCAGCGTTATGACTTCCGCAGCCGCACAAAAGCAAGCGTGGACCGTGGTTCTTCTCTTCTGAGCTGGGTTCTGAACTTGAGTCCACTGGGAGCGAAAAATCATCCGCCTCAGCGCTCCTTCAACCGCGGCCGTGAAATATGATCGTGGACCGCGCCTTTTAATTTGAGCTCCAAACTTTAGTTCTCTGATTCTTCATTCCGCTGAGGGCAAGAAATGGACCGCAGCCGCGCCAGATAGTTCAGCTACCGTGCAATTTTACCGCGGGCAGCGGTGACTGTTAAGCCTAATTGTTGACTCTCTGAACCTGGTTACCGCTGAGAGCGTAATTAAGACCGCCTCAGTGGTGAGACCTCCGCGTCCGCTTCTATTTCTTCGTTGTCATCGCCCTTTTGACTCAGCTTTGAAGTTGTGCAGGTTTCACTCCTTTATGAGCTGGTTATGACATTGTTGTCTTTTTTTGACCAAACACTACAAACAAGCACAATAAGCTAGCTTTCGGGAATACTTGCACACACATTAATCCAAAACCTAAGCAAAAAAGAGTATAAAATAGGCTAGAATCCCTAGTTTTCAATAGGTAGACCCTGGATCAAATAGCACTGAAGCATCCCTACTGCAGACGGAAATAATACATGCGATAATGACATCTGAAGCCAATGCATTTAGTCTGGTCGGAAAAGCATAGAATTTGGCTGGAGCGCCGGCTGGCTGGCCTCCACCTGACTGAATAGTAGCTGGCTGACCTCTCCATGTCTGGCCTCCACCTCTAGGACGGCCCCTACCAGCCTGTCCCCCGCCTCTGGGCAGCTGGACAGTCGGTGCTATAATCATGGGCTGCTGACTCTACTACACTGTCTTGCCCCGAAGTCTGGGGCAGGTCCTCTTTATGTGACCCGGATCTCCACACTCGTTAACCTCTCGGCACCATAGACTGCTGTCCTGAAGTCTGGCCCTGATGGCCTGAATACCCAGTAGAGGAACTCTAAATACCTAGTGGGCGGTATGAACTCTCCGGTATAGCACTAAAGTGGGAGCTGGAGGAACCCTGGGGACCTGAATACCCACTGGAAGAACCCTGGATGGCTGGCGGGCGGTAAGAACTCTCTGGTATAGTGCTGAAATAGGGGGCGCTGGAGTACCTCGAGGAGGTGGTGGTGCTAAATATGGGGGCCTACTAGGCTGACCCCTCCCAAACTGACCTCTGCCCCTAGCCGGGGCACCTCTAAACTCTCCAGAGAATCGAGCCCTCTTGTCCTGCTGCATCTGCTCTCTACCTCTTAGACGGTAGCCCTCAATCCTCCGAGCAATCTCCACTACCAGCTGATAAGGAGTCCCCATCTCAACCTCTCGGGCCATGTTGGCCCTAATACCAGAATGCAACCCTGCAACAAACCTCTGCACTCACTCTGTATCAGTAGAAAGTATCATCAGTGCATGGCGGGACTACTCAGAAAACCTCGCCTCATAGTCGGTCACTGACATTTGACCCTACTCAAGCTACTCAAACTGATACCGCAACTCTTCCCTCTCAGGGGGGATATACCTATCTAAGAAAAGTTGTGTAAACTGACCCTAAGTAATGGGAGAAGAACCTGCTGGCCTGTTGAGAAGTCAACCCTATGGGACTCCAATATCCTCGTGTTGTGCAGTCTATCCCTGCACCTATTGATGAAATCCTGGGCATCCTCATGACGCTCGCCTCCGAAGATAGAAGGGTGTAGCCTAGTCCATCTGTCAATTAACTTCTGCAGATCGCCATCCGCAGCTGGTCTAGGCTCAGGTATCACTGCGACAACTGGTTGGGCCCCATCTGCGAGTAGTACACGCAGAGTCTGATACACTGTAGCTGCATGCCCAGGAGCCTGAGCAGTAGGGGTCTGTGCTCCCCCTCCTGCCTAAGATATGGTTGGGCCTGCTGGAAATAAAATGGCCTAAGTCATAGAGTCCATGAACCGCAGCATACGGCCCATAACCTCCTGGAAGCCTGGTGCCGTCATGAAATCCGTCGGGGCAGGCGCTATTGCGGGCACCTTGCCTGCTCCTCAATAATAGGATCCCCCGCAGGATCCGTTGGTGGTGCAACTGGAGCAGCTCTAGGACGCCCTCATCCCCTATCTCGGGCCGGTGCCCTCCCCCGGCCTTTGCCTCGGCCTATAGCAATGGGGGGAACAGCTCCTCCCGGGTCTGGAACATCTGCCATGCGCGTCCTCACCATCTGTGAGAGAAAAGAAGAAGGAAATTTAGTACACCATAAACTGCACGATAGAAGATGAATAAAGAGTAGTTTTCTAACACCCTATAACCTCCAGAAGATAAGTACAGACGTCTCTGTACCGATCCGCAAGACTCTATTAGGTTTGCCCATGACTTGTGAGACCTATATGAACCTAGTGCTCTGATACCATGTTATCACGCTCCAAATTCCATTATAGGTTGTCACGACCCAAATCCACTAAGGGTCGTGATAGCACCGGACATTGCTGTCAGGCAAGCCAACCAAATTACTTGATTAAGTTCTCATTTTAACAATTTTGAAAATTAAGATTTTTCCTTCAATTTTACTAGTAAAAGATAATCTTTACAATGTAAATAAAAGAATGTTTGGAAGTAAATTCAAGATACCTAATAATCATCTCAAAACCCGGTGTCACAAGTGCATGAGCATCTACTAAGAAGGAAATAAAATGCAACAACCGTCTGGAATACAATATTGGACAGAAAATAAAAACAGATAACTGAAAGAGACTCTGCTGGTTGCGGGTCGCCTCGAGAAGTACAGCTCACCTAAGTCTCCGTATCAACCATGCTGCTATGCCCAGTAGGCCACTAGAGATACATATGCATGTGCAACAAAAATGCACAGAAGTGTAGTATGAGTACGAAAACAACGTGTACTCAATGAGTATCCCGTCTAATCTCGAAGAAGTAGAGACGAGAAGTCGACTTTGACACTTACTAGTGGTCCAATAACAATATAGTGAAAATGTGAGGAAATCATGGATTTTTATAAAACAGTTATAAACTCGTAAAACCAGATAGCAGGTAAACAACATCTCAAATAAGTGCAGATTTCCAAATGTTACTTTTCATTATGCTTATCAACTATATCTGGCCAGGGAAGGCAAATATTATCGCATAACATTCTCAGGCAAGCAATATAAGCATGCACATATCATGCCGAGGTCGTACGGCCCAATC